TGTGTGTGTGTGTGTGTATGTGTGTGTGTGTGTGTGTGTGTGTGTCATTTGTATCAATAATATTTAAAAATAAGAAAGTTATGACTGAACAGACATTACTTTCCAGCCCACTTTCGAAATAAAAAGTAGTACCTTGCCTTAAGTCGTGAGCCCGTAATAACTCACTTTGTGCTTGAGAAGTCCTTGGGGACCGATGACGTCATCAAACAACTGTCGACCCACGTGGCAGTCTACAGCACTCAGAGGGTCGTCCAGAAGGAAAATGTCCGCCTGGCTGTACACTGCACGTGCTAGGGACACGCGCTGTTTCTGACCGCCAGACAAGTTGACCCCCTGGGAAGGGAAGACGGCATAAAGGGAAGACAGAGGGCCTATAACTGCAATTTACATTTTCCCTCTGTTTTTCATGGAATGTCTTAAAACCGTTTAATCTTAAGATTATACGATGGTGAATTCAAGAATAACTTCCAGTCTGAAAATGAGGGAGCAATTCATTCTCTCGGGCAGATGGAGCACCTTAAACCTGTGGTTTTGTTTGTTTGTTTGTTTATGTCTTTCTTTGTTTCTTTCTTTCTTTCTTTCTTTCTTTCTTTCTCTAAAGCGAAGCACATCAATACATTAACGGTTATTTAATGAAGAGAAAAAGTAAGCCAAGTAGACAGAAACAGAAGAGAAACAAAAAAGTAGTACCTACCACTTGTTCCCTCCAACCACCAGCATCATGTATTTTTAAAATTATTGATATAACCTTGATGAATCTCTCCTACTTACAATATCTTCAGTCTATCTTCTTTATCAACCCCAAAATCCCCAATTGGGAAGACTTTATTTGAAATGACTTACTTTTGCCTGGTAAGGCTATATAAAGAGGAACATGCCCTCTAGTCTACCGTAAAGAAACTGTTTGTTGGGGTTTTCTATGAAGGTGTTTTTATGCCCCATCGACACAATTTAGATCATTTAGGAGGCGGGCTTCCTTCTCTCCCTGCCAGGGCCAACCCCAATTGAGATGAAAAATCCCCGCAGAAAGACTGAGACTCGCTAACAACCCTCTCAACTGGGGAATCGAACTCGGGGCTCTCGTGCGTTACAGAAATGCGTCCAACCGCTGCGCCAGAGACGCCAGTTTATTGAAACTGTTTAGCCATAGTTTCGAATGATTCAGAAGTCTGAGAATGTTTGTGAAGCAAGTAAATGCATTTCTTAATTAATTTTAATAGATTAATAGAATATATTTCTGTAAAATAACTATATTTCCGCAATACCGATAGGTTCTTAAACATCTTTATTGAAATGTTTGCCATCTGCCTTAGAAAACATAGCCGACTTTGACTTGTTCTCTGGTGCAGATAAGAACTGTACAATAAGAATTGTCCAGCTACCTTCTCCCCGATCTCAGTGTGGTCATAAGCCGGAAGAATCTCGAGATCGAGGACCAGTGCGCAGGCGCGGATGACCCTGTTGTAAAAATTCCGCTTGAACTGTCGTCCGAACAGGATGTTAGCCCTGAGTGTGCTGTTCTGTATCCAGGCCACTTGAGGGACGTAGGCCACTGAGGACTGAACATGAGCACAGTATGAGCTCGGGATTAGATTCCGGTTGTATGCCTCCTGGAGACTACGAGAGTAGCCAGAAGCCGTGCACTGGTGGATTAGACATGGATATAAATACGAACTGACCAAAATGATTTGGAATATTCGTTTAGAAAACAATTGTAATAATTTTAAAGAATGAATCTCTTCTCAAAGTATGCACACATTATTATGTATATGACTTTTATACACTGGAACCTCCCCCCCCCCCCCCTTTCCGAGAATGTGTTTGATGGATCGTTCATAACAATTATGATAAACATCTGCTTGGACCCAAAAACCAACATATTTAATCTGTTAATCTGCCATTCACAGAGAACACTTTTATTAAATGAGACTCCTCATAATATGCATCATTGTAGACGAATTCAAAGTGAATTGGTTGCTTTTAAGCACAAGGGGGCTATCCCAAAAAAATGATGTTGGGAGAAAATCTAAGGTAAAGTTTTTGCCCCTGTTCAGTTTCTTTAAAAGACAAGGAGAGTTTTTTCCATAACCAAACAAATATACACATCAATGGAACCAAACTTCTCCTGTAGGTAGGGCAATGCCCACTTTTGATGTAGGTCAAGATTTCTGGAAACCCCCGAAATCTGGGTTAGCCCGCTTGTCCTTAAAAGCGACCAATTAACACTGAAAAGCCTTCAAAATAAATATCTAATGGACAATAAATAGATCGTTCACAACAATGACTAGTAAAGTACTTAGTATTAAAAATTCATCCTCATATTATGCTAATAATGACAATCATAGTACAAGAATGCAAGGTAAGCCTAATACGTCTTACAGTTGATTGATTATATAAATCCTCATGCAAACACCCCAAAACATTGGCAAAAGCTCATCTGAAGTAAAAATCTTAAAACACTCACGTTGACGCTACAGTGTCCTGCAAGTCTGTGCATCTCCCCTAACAGTGCGGAGAGCAGAGAGGATTTCCCTGAGCCCACTTCCCCTATCACAGCCACAAGCTGGCCCGGTGCCACTCTCATGGACACACTGGGGGAGAAGGGGGAAATGGTTATTCTTTTTCCCCAACAGGTACAAAGTCCGTCAAATTCTGAAGCTTGCTCATTTTTAGTTTATTAGTTAGACTGTCTATCCATCCATTCATCCATGCATCCATGCTTCCATCCATGCATCCATCCATCCATCCATTCATCCATCCATCCTTCCATCCAACTACCTATCTATTTATCATCTACCTATCTACTTATTATCTATCTATCTGTCTATCTATCCATCTATCTATTTATTTATCTCTCTATCTCTCTATCTCTCTATCTATCTATCTATCTATCTATCTATCTATCTATCTATCTATCTATCTATCTATCTATCTATCTATCTATCTATCTATCTAT